GAGAGAGACGGAGAGAGAGAGAGAGACGGAGAGAGAGACGGAGAGAAGAGAGAGAGACGGAGAGAGAGACGGAGAGAGAGAGAGACGGATCTCTCTCTCTCTCTCTCTCTCCTCTCTCTCTCTCTCTCTATCGCTCTCCTCTCTCTCTCTCTATCGCTCTCTTTCTCCAACGCAGCCTTACCCAACGTCGCCAGAGACCTGCGCAGGTCCGGGCGCCGAAGGGCGACGGGAGCCGGAAACGCACCAACGAGCGCTGCGCGGCTTTGGAAGCGGCGGAACGACCGCAGGAAGCGTCGGTCGCCGCCGGCGTCGGGCGATAGCGCTTCGATCGCCCTAATAAACCTCCGCCAGTCGCGGCAGTCAGACCTCGGCCAACACCCGCGAACACTACACGGGGGGGGAAACGGTGCGCGACTCTCACAAGTGATTACACTGTTCGCTTCATAATCAATTAGAAAATTCCGACGAGAGCGATCATTTATTTATATTTTTCTCGGAGGGGTGAGTTATGTGCAGTTCGATAATTAATGCATTGGTTCGCTGTTCCACCGCCCGTCTGCTAAATAATGCAGGTCACTTGTTATCTGCGCCGCCTGCAAAATTCATCGAGACTCCCGCGCCGTCACCTTACCACCTTTAGCGTGCACTAAAAAGTGTAGTGACTGTATATGTTGTGGGCCAGTCTTGTGTGGGCGCAATATTACCCCCGGAAAAGCCATCCCCCCCCCCTCCAATCGACTGACAAGCGGGTACCTGCTCGCTGCTGAGTAAACAGAGGCGTGTGTGTGTGCGTGTACGCGTGTGGGTGTGTGGGTGTGTGTGTGCGCGTGTGTGCACGCGTGTGCGGAGTGAGGAAACTCCTCCGAGGTTTCGTCCCGTGTGTATAATACCGCAGTGGCGGAATGTTAAAGAGCTCCGAGTCATCACAGCTCCCGTCTCCCACCCCCCGCCACCCCCCCCAAACCCCCCACAACCCCACACACCACCCAAACCCCCCCTCACCCCCCCCAACCCCACCCCCACACCCCCACACACACACATCCACGACACCACACAGACTGACGCATTGTGGTCACTCAGCCAGGAACGGGTTTTTTGGGGGTAATAATAATATTAATAATAAAAATAATCATAATAATTCCACCTCGAAGCCGTGGAACTTTACTGCTGGGTGAACAGAGGCGTGTGTCTGTGTGCGTGTGTCTGTGTGTGTGTGCGCGTGTGTGTGCGTGTGCGTACGTGTGTGTGTGCGTGTGTCTGTGTGTGTGTGTGGGGGGAGTAAGGAAACTTGCCTAAGGTTTCGCCCCGACCTGACCCGCCCGGGAATCGAGGCGAGGGGCCCTAACCCTTGAGCTACGGGGACTCTAACAAATTCTCCTTCGCACCCCCCACCCCGTCCCCGTTCCCCCCGTTCCCCCCCCAACCCCGAACTTCTTGTCCGGCCGCCTCCGGGTTACGTGAAAGGATTGCTCTGCCCTTGAGTTCCCAACCTCAGTCGGCGTTCCTCTGGTGAGAGGGAGTATATATCACGCACCGAATCACTGCGTGAGTCTGAAGGGTCTTGAGGGAGATGTTTGCAACAGCTATTAAGGGTCTCTAAGGCGTCGTCTGCCAACGTGTTTTATGGGGTGAAAAAATGAGATGATGCCTAACACGTTCCGCAACCCACTCCACGCTGACGCACTGGCGCGGGGGGGGGGGGGGGGGGGGAGAGGGGGGGGGCGCGCGGGAAAATAACGTGCCATGCGATAATAACGTCACACCGAATTATTTCCGCGCCAATTGATCGTCATCTTAATCGTGTTGACGATAATCCCTGCGTTTGATCACGTCATTAGGACGTCTCAAAGCGCTGTAAACAGAGGCGCGGGTGTGTATGCGTGTGCGTGCGCGCGCGTGCGCGTGCGTGTGCGCGTGCGCGTGGGCGGGGAGTAAGGAAACCTTTCGCCCTGCCCCGGGAATCGAACCCAGGTCCTCCCGCTTGCGGGGAATCTAGATTTAACCTCTTAAGACCACGTCGTTAAAACCTCGGCGCCATTTCGAAAGGGAAGGGGAGTCTCGGAGACTCTCCCCCGGAGAGCCTCGGCCGACGATTCCCCTGAATAAAATCGTTCATCCGACTCGAGGCTTTTTCTAACGACGACAATAATGATAACACGAATAATATTAATAATCATTTGGGACGTTGCTGCGCACAAATTAGCTGCCTCGTTCGCCTGCAAAGCGCACGGTCACCACACTTGAGGGCCAAGTCCTTTGAGCTGCTTTGCCGTTGCGATAAGGCAAAGAATATTACAATTAACATTAATATCCTCCCGTCTTGAGATGTATAAAATGCTGTCAAGAGTCTGAAAAGGCAGAGCAATATTGTAGGGCTCATCAGGACAGTCGGATCGCTTCCCTCCTCGGCACCGGCACGGGGTTACGAGGGAGTGAGGGGTGGGGGTGTTGAGGTCAGGCCAATGGACTCATTTAAATTGCGGCTCGATGCTGGGGTGGTGGGGAGGGGGGAGAGAAGGTTAACCAGGATTTTCTGGGCGATCAAAGGGCCTTCTCCATCGAACCGATCGCGCGATGCGGTGACGTCCTAATAACCGTTTGAGCGACAATAAATCCGCTCACATTTCCTCGTGTGCTTTCGGTGATGATGTGAAATAAATCCCCTTTGGCGATGTACTCTCGAATGGAAATGCAGTGGTTTCTCCCTATGGGACCGCGGCTGAACCTCCGGATTGTGTCCTCTCAACCTTCTCTGCTCCTACATTCCCAGTTTTTCTCTCTCTCTCGTCTCTCTCTCTCTCTCTCTCTCTCTCTCTCTCTCTCTCTCTCTCTCTCTCTCTCTCTCTCTCCCAGTGTCCTAGCGGACAATCCCCCAGATAAAATCAGGTCACTCACTCACTCGCTTAGTCACTCACTCACTCACTCACTCACTCACTCAGTCACTTACTCACTCACTTACTTAGTCACTCACTCACTCAGTCAGTCAGTTACTCACTCACTCAGTCACTGAGTAAGTCACTCACTCACTCGGTCACTTACTTACTCACTCAGTCATTCAGTCAGTCAGTCACTCAGTAAGTCACTCACTCACTTAGTCACTCACTCACTCACTCACTTAGTCACTCAGTAAGTCACTCAGTCACTCAGTCAGTCAGTCAGTCACTCACTCACTTAGTCACTCAGTAAGTCACTCATTCACTTACTTAGTCACTCGCTCAATCACTCTGTAAGTCACTCATTCAATCACTCACTCACTCATTCACTCGCTCAGTCACTCACTTTGTGGCTGTTTGTGGGACGTTGCAAAAAAGCACAGTCACTCCACTTTAGGTAAATCGCGTGAAGTGCTTCGAGGTGTCCTCGCGACGCGATAAGGCGCTGCGTATCAACTGGAAGGATTCTAAGTATTTTGCTGCTCTGCATCCCCGGCTCACCCCACATTCTCCCCCGCCTCCCTCCCTCCCTCCCTCCCTCACTCCCTCCCTCCTAACCCTCCCCTCACCCTCCCTTCACCCTCCACTTCTCCTGGTGCCAAAGTTCTGTGTATCTGTTGTCGTCGTTGTTGTTGTTGTCTGTATTGATAGCAAAGCCTATCAATGACATTGAGGTCAAAACCAGAGCGAGAGAGAGAGAGAGAGAGAGAGAGAGCGTCAGTCAGTGACTCAGTGAGTGAGAGACCGAGAGAGAGAGAGAGAAAGAGAGAGCGTCAGTCAGTCAGTGACTCAGTGAGTGAGAGACCGAGAGAGAGAGAGAGAGAGAGAAAGAGAGAGCGTCAGTCAGTCAGTGACTCAGTGAGTGAGAGACCGAGAGAGAGAAAGAGAGAGCGCGAATGAATTAACTCACGGAGAAAAAGAACCTCCCTCCCTGGCTCTCTCAGGGCCGATCTCGGAACGTGTGATGGGAATATTTAATAGTCCTCTCTCTCTCTCCTCTCTCTCTCTCGCTCTCTCTCTTTTTTTCCACCTCTGCAAACCCGCAGCAATCCCTGTGCGTCACAGAATTTTCCCGTCACTTGGAGAGAGAGGGGGAAGCCACACACACAGAGAGAGAGAGAGAGAGAGAGAGGGAGAGACCCTGACCATGTCTCTCGCCCCTGATCTGGGAGTGTAAGGTGGACGGACAAAAGACTTGTGAATTGTGTCGTTCCTTCTCCCGCCACCCGCCCGCCCGCACCCGCCCGCACCCACCCGCACCCCCCCCGACCCCTTCTCCCCTCCTGCTCACCCTCCTACCCCCACCGCCCGCCCCCCCCTCCCCTCCCCTCCCCTCCCTCGCCCGTCTCCGAGCCAGGAGCAGCTGTGGTACCCGCGCAGAGGTCAGCGTGTCTCAGCGAAAGGAATACCCTGAGTGGAGTTGACGTTCATGAGCTCTGAGTGTGCAGTAATCAGTGCGTTTCGCAGCTGGTGCCAAACACCTGGTGATAGAAAGCCAAGCGCCGCACTGCAGACAGACACCACCACCCCCCCCCCCCCCTCCCCGTTTTCCCCCCCACCCCACCCCCCCCCCCCCGCATCGGCCGCGCTCAGTCTGAGGCCAATCGAGTCTCCACTCCACAGCTGCCAAATAATAATAGTAATTATGATTATAACAATCCTTGCATTTGGTACAGAGCCGTGTTGTGTCCGTGAAGGGCTTTGAGATGTCTCAACGGTAGAGTGTGGGATGGGGAGCAAGGGACGGGGGGGGGGGGCAAGGGATTGGGGGTGGGGGGTTGTGGCAATGGTTGGGGGGCGCTTAGTTTTCAGAAGCCAAACCCAGCGCTGGGAGGGAGGGAGGGAGTGAGGGAGGAAGGAGGAGGATGGAGGGAGGGAGATGGGGATGGGGTTAAGTTGCAGGAGTTAAGGAGGCGATGTGTGGGTGGGGGACGCGGCGGGAAGGTGAGGGCTGGGGTCTGGGGGGGGGGGTGGTGCTGGGTGGGAGAGTGGCGAGTGGTGGGGGTCGGGGAGGGAGACCGAGTGTTACCTTACCGTTCACCCCCCACCCCCCAAATCAGCCCCTACCTGTCTCGATGTGATGAGCGCTGCCCCTCCCTCGCAGGAGGTAGGAGAACTCCACGCACTTCTCATTGTGTTTGTTGGCTCTCCCGGTGAAGCACAGCTCAGTGACCAAGGCTAAGGCGTTCCGACACAGCTCCCCATCGTCCCCGTCTCCAGACATACCGACACTGCATCTCTCGCTCGTACCCCCCCCCAAATGACAGGACCTTTCCAACCCCCCCCCCGCCCCCGCCCCCTGCCCCCCTCTCTCTCCCTCTCTCTCTCTCGCGCTCTCTCTCAAGCAAGGATGAGAAGTGGGATGGAGTAGAGGGTGGGTTGGGGAGGAGGGGAGGGAGGGAGGGAGGGAGAGGGCGAGGTAAGATCGGGCGAGCTCGAGGAGGAGGTCGGAGTCAATCACGTTCCACCAATTCCTTCCTCACACGTTGGCCGAGAGAGATACTGAAAGAGAAGAGAATTCGAATAAGTCCTGGGTAGGAATAATAATAATAATAATAATAATAATATAATGACAGTAGTAATCTTTGCAATCGGCACCACCCCTTGTCACGTCGTCGAGACGCCGCAAAGTGCTTCACAGGAAAGTGAAGTGACTGTGTTATAGAGACACGGTGACCCCCCCCCCCCTCCACCCCCCACCCCCCAACCCCACCAGACCCTGTAACGTTCTACGAGACGCGTGAAAGAGCGAGGAAAGAGCGCGGGGGAGTTGGGAACAGTTGATAGGGATTTGAGCGTCAACGCAAGTTAATTCCCAATGCAAAGGCTTTTCGGGAGAGGGGGAAGAGACACACTGTAGGAAGAGTGACTAATCTTCCTCCTCGAATAGTCCGTCTCACCCACCTCTCCCCCCCCGTCCCCACTCCCCCCACTTCGCAATGGGGGAAAATAAGCCTTTGGAGAGAAAAGGACATTTTTCCTGTTATCACAGCTCAGACACACACACACACACACACACACACTCTCTGCTTCTCCGCCTACGTACAGGTTTAACGCTTGTTAAATAGTCTTAAGTGTGGTCGGTCTGATGTGATCACTGCGTGTGGTGCTATTCCGCTTGGGGGGTGGGGGGGGGATGTGGTTGGGTGGGGGGGGTGGGGAGAGGTGTCTGGGGGTGGAATGCAAGACATTGACGCACAGAAACCCATCACCGTGATTTAGAGTCCCCAAACCAAACCAACCCGAGATTTCCAGGAAATTTCCGGCGATGGATTGTTAGAAAGGAATGCGCTCTCAGTCTCTCTCTCTCTCTCTCTCCTCTCTCTCTCTCTCTCTCTCTCGAGGGGGACGCACCCACCCTGCCTACCGAATTCCGGAGAGCGTTAGGCGCAGGTCGGCGGGAGCCGAGGCTCGAGGGAAAGGGGGAGCCCAGAGTGTGCAACGGGGCAAGAGGATGCGAGAGAGAGAGAGAGAGAGAGAGACATTCTCTCTCTCTCTCTCTCTCTCTCTCCTTTCTGCAGCAAAGTTCCAGCAGAGGAACACCAGACGCTATTTTTAAACGCTTTCTCCTGTTCAGGGCCTCGAAGCCCCCAAAAAATAACCATCTCCTGGTTCCTCGGGGATAAATTTCACACCCGTCTGCCCTTGGGCGGCAGTTACATCCCATTCAGAGTTCCATCCACCCATTACCTTTCCCGAAACCCGGTTGTACGGAGTAATGGAGTCACTGTAGCTCAAGGATTAGAGCCCTCGCCTCGCGAGCGAGAGGACCCCGGTTCGATTCCCGGGCGAGACCTTAGGCACGTTTCCTTGCTCCCCCCCCACCCACCACCCCAGCAGTCGGTAGGAACCCGGTTGTTAGTCGATTGGCTTTTCCGGGGGTAATAAACCCCTTCGAAAGAAAAAACAAGGACAACAAATCGGTCGCTTCAATCCACGGCCGTTTTGTGGGGGACGTCGCCGGGCGCAATCGGCTGCCGCCTTTCGCCCACCAAACACACAGTCAATCCGCTGTACAGCGTGTCCCGTGAAGCGCTTCCAGGCGCCTCGAAGACGCGATCAGGCGCTGCATCAAGTGCGAGGATTGTTTTTATCATTATTATTATTATTATAGTGGAAGGACAACACCTCTTGACGTTTCCCCCCACCCCAAGTACTGCGGAGGAGTAATAGCGCGGAACTGCGTGAGCTTAAATCCGCGACCGTCTGACCGGGCGGTGAGCGATGCGAGCCGCTGAGCCGAGCTGACACCTCATGACTCCGAGCCGAGGTCCTATCGTATTTACTGTCAGACACTCTCTGCCTCTGGAATTCTCTGCGTTGGGAAATGTTCCGTTGTAATTGAGAAACCTGCCCGAGCAGTGTCTTAATAGCTCACGTTAATGTGGGGTGTCAGCCTGGCTCAGTGGGTGAGCACTCTCTCTCTCTCTCTCTCTCTCTCTCTCTCGCACCCCCCCCACCCCGACCCGACCCCCCCACGAAGTCACTACACTTCGCAGCCTATCCTGCGAAGCACTTTGAGACGTCTCGAATAAGCCGCTGTATCCAATGCAAGGATTATTATCATTACTATCATTAGTATTATTATTATTATTATTACAATTTTGCCCCATCCACGGATAAAATTGGCCGTTCAAACCGGCTCCAGCATTTCCCCCACCCGTGCACGGTCACTACACTTCACAGTCATTTCCCGCGAAGCACTTTGAGGCGGCTCGACCTCCGAGATGTTTGATGTGGGTCACACTGCATCAGAAATTTCCCGAAGCTCCCAATGGCGTAAAAGACTCGGATCTACATAAGACTTTACAGCGCGGAAATAGGCCATTCAGTTCATACCCGACATGAGTTCCCCCCCCCCCACCCCCAACTCACCCCACTCCCTTTCTCCCCGCGTACCCCTTCTCCCCCGTAAGTAATAATAATAACAACAAGAACAACAAGAGGGGGATAACCCTTCAAAAAATATTAAAGTCACGGTCACTCGATCCGCGACTGTTTGTGGGGACGCAATCGGCTGCCGCGTTTCGCCCGCAGAACGCGCAGTCGCTCCACTTTGCGGTGCGTCCCGTGAGGCGCTCGGAGGCGTCTCGGAGACGTGATGAGCCGCTGCGTCGACGGCCGGGATTATCGCGACTGCGTCATTATACATTACCCTTTGCCTGATGTCTCCCCGGTTGGCAGTGGCTGCAGGTGAGACACACGATGAAGAGAAGCTTAGACAACACTGCAATGTCGGCGTCTTGTACTTGGAGTCATGTGTCCCAACTGGGAATCACTTACCGGGAACTGTTCCCACACTTCAGGGAAGAAGCCAAGCCACACGCCGAGTCGATAGATATCTCAGCCAGAGGGCAGTTTTTTTGGCGGAGGAATTGCCGAGCCCCGTAGCCTGGCGGATAGAGCCCTCGCCTCGCGAGCGAGAGGACCCGGAGGGTGGGGGGAGAAGGGGGCAATAACCCCTTCAAAAAAAGATTTGATCCCTCAATCCACGGCTGTTTGTGGCGGACGTCCGCCGGGCGCAATCGTACAGCCACCGCACTATACGGCGCATCCCGTGAGGCGCTTCGAGGCGTCTCGAAGACGCGATGAGGCGCCGGGTCAAACACGAGGGTTCTGACTGCTATCGTCTTCGCTATTATTATAATTTATAATTGCGCAGTAGCCCGTGAGGCGCTTTGGGACCTCTCGGTGCTGGTCAGACGCCGTATCAAATGCTTGGATTATTATTAATATGTATATGAGATGATTTAAATCTATATTGCTCCCTTAGCCAATGTTATTCAGGGCATCTGTTACTATTTTTGTTAGCCAAGGGTGTCGAGGGGATACAGGGCAAGGGGGCGGGTAATTGGAGCTGAGGTACAGATCTTGTGCAAAGGCGGAACAGGCTCGAGGGGGCTGAATGGCCTCCTCCTGTTCCTGAATGTTCCCACGGCCCCATCCCGCTCTCTCTCCCCACCGTAGGAGGGAGCAGAGGTAGAGACGAGGGTGAGGGGTTAGGGTTAGGGTTGAATTCGATCTACTGGGGGTGGGGGAGATAGGAAACATTTGAGCCAAGCCGGGATGGGGGTGATGGGTAAGTGAGGAGGTGGTGGGGGGGGGGTGGGGAGCGTTAAGGAGAGGGTGGGGGTGGGAGGGGGAGTATTGGGTGGGGATCAAGCCGCGTTGATTGGAAGCTTCGAGGAACAACCGGCGGTGTAGGGGTTGATTGACTGAACGGCAGCAATTATTTCCCCGTTTCTCTGTCATTTACACCTGATCTGTATCAGAACGTGCGTGTGCGCGAGTGGCGGAGGGAGAGAGAGAGAGAGAGAGGAGAGAGGAGAGAGAAAGAGAGAGGGGGTGGGGGAGGGGGTGAGGGGGAAGAGAGAGAGAGAGAGAGAGAGAGAGAGAACGAGGGCCAGAGGGGTGAGAACACAAGCAATGAGACAAAGCCACAATGGCTTTCAGTGGCGGTCCAACTGCACCATAAAAAAAAGCACACGTTTAACACGTGATTTACACGATCGGGGGGGAAATTGGGGGGCGGATGATGGGGGGGGGGGAGTTGAGGGTCATTTGATCGAAGCTAAACACCCCCCCCCCATCTGCCTGGCACGTCACTGGCAAAGTAACAAGTGTGTTTGCCATGTAACCCAGCGATGCCCAGAATTGACGGGTTCCTATCCGAGAGACAGAGAGAGCGACAGAGAGAGAGAGAGAGTGTGAGTGAGGATGAATAAAGTGTGGGGTGGGGGGGGGGGGGTGAGACGAGAGAGAGAGGGAGAGGGAAGGGGAGAAGAGGGAGACGGAGAGAGAGAGAGGGTGAGGGAGAGGGTGGGGGCGACCGGGATATTCCCTGGCGCAGCTACTTGGGAAAAGAAAAGGAATTGTCATCAATCAATCAGTATAATAACGATGACAACAGCCCTCAATTGTCGACACAGAGTCTGATCACGTCGTCGAGACGGCTCAAAGCGCTTCGCGGGACGCGCCGTAGAAAAGGGGAATTGGCCGCGAGCGTCGCGGGCGAAAGGCGGCGGCCGATCGCGCCCGGCGACGTCCCCACAAACAGCCGCGGATTGAAGTGACCGACGTATTATCCTTTCGTATAAATAATACATACAAATAGATAGCTAAATAAATAAATAAATAAACAAATAAACAGATGGTAATAATAATAATCCCGGCATCTGATGCGGCGCCTTATCGCGTCTTCGAGACGTCTCAAAGCGCTTCCCAGGACACGGCGTGAAGTGAACCGACCGTATGTTTCGTGGGCGAAACAGATCAATAGATAAAGAAAGTT